ATCATCATCATCATCAGCATCATCAGCAGCACCATCATCATCACCATCATCATGGGCATCAGCATAATCAGACGCATCGTCCTGATCCTCATCATCATCATCGACACCATCATCATCATCATAATCATCATCATCATCATCATCATCATCATCATCATCATCATCATCATCATCATCATCATTATCAGCATCATCAGCAGCACCATCATCATCACCATCATCATGGGCATCAGCAAAATATTTCTCATCATCACCACCATCACCACCACCATCATCAGCATCATCATCATCCTCATCCTCATCATCATCATCATCATTACCATCGTCATCAGCAGTGTCATCATCATTACCATGAGTAGCAGCATCATCATAAGCATCAGCATCACCACCATCACCATCGTCATCGTCATTAGCATTGCGGCCATCAGCATGAGCAACATCATCAGCAACAGCATCATCACCATCATCAGCATCATCATCATCATCATCATCATCATCATCATCATCATCATGGTCATCAGCAGTAGCATCATCATCAGCAGCAGCATCATCAGCAGCGGCATCATCACCGTCATTATCGCCATCGCCACTTCCCTATTGCCAACGACGGTTCTCGCTTCGGGGATTGGAAGCTCCCAATGACAGTGAGGACACGGGCCTCTGGACGGGAGGCAGGAGGAGGGAGGAGGAAGGAGAATGAGGAGGATGAGGAGGAGGAAGAGAAGAGAAGACGAAAAAAGAAGGGCGAACGGGAAGAGCAAGAGCGGGAAGAAGGACCACTGAGCAGGAGCGGCGCGGAGACGCAGAAAGAGGGCCTATATTTTCAGAGGGGAGGCTGAAGCAGGGAACGGGCCCATCCGAACTTCAGTGTTGCATCAATGCATCTTGACATGAAACACTGTCAGTTGTCCCATCCGATGGGAGGGGGACTTCACCATGCAACAATGGACCAAGGAGGAACAAGAGGAAGAAGGGCAAGGAAACGCAACAATGCCCAGGAGAATGCGAACGGCAACTCAGTCCACGGAGGAGTGACCATCCGTGCTCGAGTCAACGATGCGGCAGATGCAGGACGAATCGAAATGTCACCAGGCGAACCAGGAAGGCCCCAAAAGCTGACCTGCGATGGACGATGTCATGCAGCAGACCGTGGCCTGTGAGAAAGCGAATGCGCTGCAAGAAGGCATCATGCCCCAAGGGAATGAGCCCATGCTTGTTTTTTCCAAAACACCTGGGCGCGCCAATTGTTTCAACGCGCCGGCCCCTGGAGTACGGACTACTTCCATGGGGCCGGCTTTTCGGTTTGATTCCTTTTTGGACGGTCCCGAGGCACGAGGCCGCAATCAGCCAAAAACCTCCCGTCCCAATTCTTTGGAGCGCCCGATCTCTGAGCTATTACTCTCGACCTGATTTTTTCATTCGCATGATATCCGATGCTCGTTTTCCGAAGCACACCATGTGTGGAGCTTGCAGGGAAAGGCTGGCCAAAGGAAGGCCAGAGGCGTCGGGGCGCGGCGGCGCTGGTCCTACCGCGCGGCCTCACAGAACCCCAAAGACAGAGGGCCCTCGACCTGTCCAATAGCTGTTCGCAAGGGCGGGGGGGCATAGGGCGAGAAAGCTGCATGTCACCTGCTTCTACTATCAGAGCCGCTGCGCTCACATGATATCCGGCGCTCGTTTCCCAAACCATCCCATGCGCGAAGGTTGCAAGGAAAGGCTGGCCAAAGGACGGCCAGGGGCGCCGGGGCGCAGCGGCGCCGGTTTTACCGCGCGCCCCCACAAAGCCCCAAAGATAGAGAGCTCTCGACCTGTTCCAACCTTGACGCCATTGCCACGAGCCTGAAATTCGTCTCGCCCCACCCAGCGAGTCGGTGACACTGTCACCCAACACCCCACACAGGAGTTGAGCAAGCTGTTGGACACGCTGTCGGCCGTCAGACGACCTGTGGGCGAAGGACAAGGCGGCCGCGCCCATCTGGGGATGTTGATGCATGGTTTGGACACGAGCGGAAGTGATGGATGGCCCCGCCTCCTCGTAGCGACCCAAGGGCGTCGGACGAATCGTTGATGCCGACGAGGACCTCGAGGTAGCTGAACCTCTGGGTCAGTCCGCGCGCCCGTCCCAGGCACGAGGCTGCCGTCGGCGAGAGGGGGCCAAGGACGCTCTGTAACTTCGGCCAGCGGTCGAACGTCTTGGCGGGGAGCAGCACAAGCACGCGTGCATTGATGTCGCCCCCCAGGTCCCCAGGCAAGACGAGGTGCCGCCCGAGGGCATTCGCGACCTCGCTGGGCCGCAGCAGCGAATGGAAGGTGGGGACAGGCACGCTGACGTTCTGCCCCATTCCACCGCCTGGGCAGCGACGGCCAGTGCCAGTGCCAAGAGCACCTCGACAGGCATGGGCGCGCGCATCTCGACTGGCTCGAAATTGCGCCAGCGAGCCTCCACGGCCCAGTCTGGACGCAGTTGGCTGCGGGACTGGGGCAAGCGAGACACGGCGCCAACCAGGGTCTCGGACCCCCGCGGACATGGCGCATTCGCGTCGTAGAGGCACTGCGGCGACGAGCGTGGCGCTGAGCAGCTCGATGTCACGCGCGACGTCGTCGGGGCGGGGCAGCCTTCGACTCTGGAGCCACAGGCTCTACCTGCCGAGCATGATGATATGCCGACGGGCGGCGGCCGGCTCGACTGCCACTCGGATGCCCCGCCTGGCCCGCGAGGCCGCACGCGGCGAGACTGCACCCGGGCGCGAAGACGGGCCTTCTCCTGGAATTCCGAGCCAGCTGCAGAAGATCCGCATGAGAGGAGCATCGGCAACGCGGCGAGCGGCGGCACATGTCGAGCTGCTCGGGCACCGCATCGCACCACTCGCTGGAATACTCTGTCGCCACCTCCGCCAGACGCCGCCAGACGCCGCCCTCGCACTTGATGCCGCCCTCTAGGACGAGGCGCTGGCTGCTGCGGTCGCATCGCCTTGCCAGCAGGGCCAGGAACATCGCCGAAGAGATTGCTGGGGCTGCCCCCACGCCCACAGGGCGCCCACGCGGTCGAGAGCACTCACGAGGTCCAGCCTGGCCCCCACGCACTTGTTGCCCAGGATCTCCTCGGGGCGTTGCCGCAGCCTCCATGGCCGTTGGCGAATCCGAGAGGATCACGAGCACAATTCATGAACCGCGAGAAGCCCGCGAGAAGCTCCCGCAAGGGGGGGGCCAGAGCGGCCGCCACCGGCATGATCCTCATTATGAGCTCGATCTCGTGGGCGAGCACGTCGGAACCCCTGAGGCCCTCGGGAGACCCATGCAGCACGTCGCGGCGGATGACAGTCCAGCCACGGCGCTCCAGGGCTGCGCTGAGGGGGGCCTTCGGCACGCTGAAGGCGTCGCAGAGGGCGGGTGGGGTGGTCGGCGGCCACAGAGCGGCGCACGCTCACGGCCCAGCTCCAAAAGCTCTTCTCATCGGCGGCAACCGACTCCACCACCTCGGGAAGGCACGGTCTGGCCGCACGCACGTATGCACCGTTTGCTGGGTCATCTGCAAGATTGTGGGCACCCCGAACCCAACAGGAGAGGGAACACGCTGCGAACAGCAAAAACGGGAGAGTCATGGCGAAGATCCTGTTCAGGACCCTGCTGGACGATCGTCTTCGGGCGGCAGCGCTACGTACAATCTTTGAGTCTATGAGCACTGGGATACGTATGCCATGCATGTTTGGGTCCTTGACTGCACGCTTGACCAGCGATCTAAACGGCGACGGCCCCTTGCACAGTGATACGACGTCGGCCACGGAGCCCCCAACAGGGTAGTAAGATGTTTGGAGCCTATCCACGAAAGGAACAGGGAGTAATCCCGGACTCTGCCCCCCAGGACCTCGAGAGGCTCGTCGGGAGTTGGGGGCCCAAAAAGTTTGAGCCTCACCGCGCCTGTCCGTCCGTACCCAAAGCCAGACCGCCTCCTCCACGTTGAGCGGGGCCGACGCGACTCCGCCGACGAAGAGAGCGGCGTCCGAGGCGACGACCTATTCCGCCAGTGGAGTCGAGCGAGCTCCTGAACAACTGGAGCAGGAGGACCAGCCTCATCAGCTCGTCGATCGCTGAATTCGGCAGCCGGCGCCATGCCGCGGGGCCCACGCTGGGCACGTGAAGTCACGCGTAGAGCTTATCCACGAGACACATGGCGGCCCGACCAGCCTCCTCACGAGAGCAACCAATGCGGCCCCGACGAGGATGATGCACGCGGCGATCACCGGGCCCGACGAGCGCGCCAGGGCCTGGAGGCGGGGAGTGCGGCACGGTTGCCGGTGGAGGTCAAGCAGGGGGCACCTTCCCCTAGACAACCCCTAGCACTGACGCTGGGCTGCCCACCTGGCGCCTGGGGGGGGGGGGCCGGCGAGGGCCGCTCGGAGGGACCTTCAGACCGAACGAACTCGCGGGCGGTGTCCGCTGGCACCGCGGGCAAGTCTGGCACGGACACATCCCAACGCCCCCCGAACGGACGCTCGGCGAGGGCAGGGCGGCGGGGGCAGGGCCCACAGAATCGAGAGCGGGCCCGAAACCACGGCCCACAGACTGCCCTGTGCCACTGATAGCGGCGGCCCACACGGATGTCCGATCGGCATCGGATGCGAGATCGGCACCACGCGGGCCCCAACCTACAGAGCATCTGGGTACCGCGGCGCGCACGCCCACCAGGCGCGCGGCACCGAAGGCGGCGCCAACCCTGGAGGGGGCCGGAAGTCAGTGCGCATGGGCAAGGCGGCCCTCGGACTGCTCCGCGGTGGGGCGCCGAGCTTACGGGCCACGGCGGCAGTTGCGAAAGCGTTACGAAACTCCCCCAACGGGGCCGTAACAGCATCGCTGGAGAGCCGCATACCTACCAACTCAACTCCGCCTGGGGCCGCACTGTCCGCCGCCCGAGCAGGCGTAGGAGGCGCCGCGCGAAGCGAATCGCCACGGCCACCGATCGGGCAGTGACCCCACCACGCCCGACTTCGTCAGCCGGCGAAAGGCCAGGAGGAGGGGCGACCCTCCACTCGGCAAGGCCTGGCGTCGAAGGGAAACGTCCGCCCGGGGCCCCCACCAGGGGCCGCCGCAACGAGGGCCGAGACAGGAACGAGGGCCGAGGCCTCTCGGGGCGGGCGACCGCGAGAGGATGCACCTCCCGAACCTCGAAGGCCAGAGGCGGGGGGAGCGCGCCTGGCGGTACCCCACGAAGGCTCAGCGCGGACGTTGAGGCGAGGCCGCGCCGGGAGGGAAAGAAGTAGAGAGGAAGCGGAGGTCATCAGGGTCCACCAACTCCGATTCCTCCATCCCAATTTTTCCTGTTCGATAGGTCTCCGACTCCACAGCCCAAGAGGTACGGGGGAGGAACTGTAAGAGAAAAGAGAAACGTTGTTTGCAATGACGGCGAAGCAACCGCCAGGGGGCGCCAGCTCAACGGACTGGCACCGCCAGAGGCTGGACGAGCGGCCGCAGACGCCGCTGGCCTGGAGGCCATCGGCAACGGGCGCCAGTAGGACGGGCGACCTGATGGGCACAAGCGCCCTGCTGGCAGGCGAGCGGCCTGCAGGAAGAGAGTGGCAAGGGCAACCCCTCCAAGGGCAGTAGGCGGAGCCCGAGGAGCCTTGGCCCGAAAAGCCAAGCTCCCAGATGACCGCCCCGCGTCTGCGGTGGCGACCACTGACCGTCCGCCTACGGCGGACAGTCGATCCCAACGCAGGCTCAAGACGGACGGAGCAGAAGCGCAGCTTCGTCCGAACCTGAACCCACGTGGGCTGTAGTTGATGTAAACGCCCGCGAAGATAGCCCCGAAGACCTGCGCGGCGCCAACTGATTGCAGCCCCCCGCGCGCGGCGTGGCTCCGCGCGCAGGCTCGCTGGGGCCGAGAGGCTAAGGGCGACTGCCATTGCGGGCGATAAGGGAATAAGAAGGTGCATCGCTACGTGCATCGCCCTTTCCTCGCCATCATCTTGCTGGCTGCATGCCTGGGGAATGAGGTGGACCCCGAGAGGAGCAGGACGAAGACGAGGACAGGGAGGACGACGAGGGCAAGGAGGGCGAGGAGGGCGAGGAAGAGGAGGCGGGAGAGGCGAAAGGAGGAAAAGCATGCTTAAGTGGGAGCGGAAGACGTCGACGACGACGAGGAGGAGGAGGAGGAAAGCCAGGAGGAGGCGGGGGCAGAGGTGGAGCGGGCGGAGGAGGAGAACGATGAGGAGGAGGAGGTGGAGGAGGATGAGGAGGAGAAGGAGGACGAGGAGGCGGAGGTGAGGGCGGAGGAGAACGAGAGGAGGCGGAGGAGGCGGAGGTGGTGGGTGGAGAGCGAGGTCGAGGAGGAGGCGGCCCAGCCGCCTCGTACTCGTTCGCCCTCTTCTCGAAGGATTTCCAGTCCTGCTTCGGAGGAATAAACGGCGTAAATAAGAATTTTCGGAGGTAAGCACTAATCTCTTTGGTCGGCGCCCTGGCGCCTAGCGATGACCCAAGAAACGGGCAAGGACCGCCGAAAGCTTACAGCCAAGACTATGATTGAGAAAGGGCTCGCCTGAGAAGCCTGTGGCAGCTTTCTGACAGAACCTCGAGCAAACGCCAGGCCAGCGCGGAGCGAACAGACTCGCGCACACGCGGGAGGGGGGCGCAGGAGCTGGGTAAGCTTCCCAGGGAGCTGCCGAAGAGACGCTGCTGTGCCACGGCGAAGAGGAGAGAATTCTTGATGATCGGACTTCCTCAGGACCGATGCTTCATTCTGGGTAGCTCCTTCACCGTCCCAGGGCGCGGGCCGGGCCCCGAGGGGCCGAAAACCATGAAAAGCTCTGCAGGGCCCCATTTTGCCCCAGCGTGCCCATTTTCTTCTCGGCACTCCTCCTGGACCCGCTCCACACCTTTCCTCCACGCGCTACGACCACAAAGGCGACACGGTAAGGGCATTGGATAAGGCACCATCGGACAAGGAATCCAGGGTCTGGAAGCCAGTGGAAAGGCAATCGTGGAGTGGCCATGGATACCACCGCCGCCCTCATCAGATAAGAAATCTTCCAGGGTCTCAAGCCTCCTGGGCATATTCCTTGCGCACGCCCCCACTGTAACGTGAAGAATGGTGCCATCAGCACAGTCGAAGCAGAGGAAGCCGGTAAGCAAGCCTACCGCCAGACCGCTCGCGCCCGTTTCCCTCAGGGAAGCGAAGACGCAGAGGAGGAGGGCTGAGGTAGGGGGGAGGCAAGGGGGAGGGGGAGGAGGAGTACGGTCAGAAACTGTTGCTCAGCGTGTCGCCACGTGCGGCCCCAGAGGCACGCTATGCCTTGCGAGTGGATAGCGTGTCGCTCCGCTCCGCGGGGCGGGAGGTCAGGAAAAACTCGAGACGTTGACGCCTGGGGACCGGGAAATGGATAGCGTGTCGAGCCGAAACGTGGTGGAGGAGGTTCAGGAGGAGGAGGAAGAGAAAAAAGGGGGAGGAGGAGAAGGAGGAGGAGGAGGAGGAGGCGGAGGAGGAGAAGGAGGAGGAGAAGGAGGAGAAGGAGGAGGAGGAGTACCGATGAGTATCGAACATCGGGCTATCCGACAATGCCCTTGCTATGAATAATTATGAGACCGCCTGCCCCACGCAAGGTTGAGGCGACCATAAACAAGATCGAAACCTTCACTCTTGAAACAGCCATGGTCTCCCCCTCCTCTTCCACCTTCTCTTCCTCCCCCTCCTCCTCCCCATCCCACTCCGCCTGCTACTGCCTCCTCCTCCTCCTCCTCCTCCTCCTCCTCCTCCTCCTCCTCCTCCTCCTCCTCCTCCTCCTCCTCCTCCTCCTCCTTCCCCTCCTCCCTCGGACGTCATGATTTTTGTCACGACGTCGACCCCCAAAGGTCTCGACCCATTCCCCGGGACCGGCTCTTAATTCTCAGCCGTTGTTTGACGGCCCTGGGGACCGGCGAGGGCCCCCAGAGTCCGAAAATTGGTATGAACCTGGCGCGACCCCAATTAGGGAAAGACTTTCTACTGCGTGGGCGCATTGCTTGGAATTGCTTCGCATTGCTTTGCATTGCTTGGTGTTGCTTGGCATTGATCGGCATTTGCTTGGCATTTGCTTGGCATTTGCTTGGCATTGAATGCCCTGCTTGGCATTGCGTGGCATTGCATGGCATTGCATTGCGTAAATTGGCATTGCTTTGCATTGTTTGGCGTTGCTTGTCTTGGCATTGATTTGCAATGCCGGAGAACCCGAGGAACAAGACCCGGGAACCCCAGGAACCCAAGGAAGGAACAAGACCGGGGAATCCGGGGAACCCGAAGAACAAGACCAGGGAACCCGAGGGACCCAAGCAAGGAACAGGGAACCAAGAGAACCCAAGCAATGAAACACGACCAGGGAACCCGAAGAACCCGGGGAACCTGGGAAACCCAGGGAACCCTGGGAACCCGGGGAACCCGGGAACCCGAAGAACCCAGGGAACCCGGGGAACCTGCAAACCAGAGGAATGCGGGGAACCCGAGGAACCTCCGAGCAACGGGCAACGTAAGAATAGGAGGCACCGGGGGCCGGGGAATCCGAGGAACTGGGGGAACCCGAGGAACCTCCGAGCAACGGGCAACGTAACATCAGTAGGCACCAACCTGTAACCAAGTAAGAACCCCTCAGGCAAGGCGAGTCGGGGAACACACAAACCTTCCGTCGTGATTGTTTCATGACTCGAGGGGGACTGGGTCCTCCCCCTCTCCTGCAACTGCACCGGCCTTGTGCCGTTGCTTCCCCGCGCCCGTCCTTCGGCCGGGGCGTCGGCTCCGTGGAGGCGGCGATCTCGGAGGCCGACACCGCCCACCGCCCGGTGCCCAGGGCCGACACGGCCTGCGGCGCTTCTTGCCCACAAGGGGGCGCCCCACGAGGAGGGAGGAGGGAGGGAGGAGGAGGGAGAAGGGAGGGAGCGAGGAGGGAGCGAGGAGGAGGGAGGAGGGAGGAGGGCGAGGGTAAGGGAGAGGGAGAAGAAGAGGAAGAGGGAGGGAGAGGGAGAGGGAGAGGGTGAGGGAGGGAGAGAGGGAGGGAGGGAGGGAGAGGAGGATGAAGAAGAGGAGAGGAAGAGGGGGATTCTGTGGGATTCTATGAACGCTACAGGTAACGTAGTCGAACCCCTTACCACAGAACTCCAGGGGGGGGCACTCCTCGACGGGCCTCGCTCCGTCGCACCCGACGGCCCATGATAGCTGCGGTGCTTCCCCTGGCGAATCCTCGCCGGGTTCTCGTGGCCCTTCTTAGAAGGAGTGCACTTCCAGGTGAGCTGACGCTTGTCCCTCGTGGCCGTCTTGCTAGAGTCAGAACAAAAATGCACTGAAAACCGAGGCCAATAGAACAGCCGATGGGACTCGTGCAACGTTTTGCCCTCACTACCGCCCCACTGACCGCCCTTTCTATCACGTCCACGGCCTGGCCGGAACTCGACTCGGCCGCGGGACACGCTGTCGAGGCTGCTTCAATTATATCTTGATCATTCTGGATACAGTGGCACAGCGAGCAGATCCATTTACTGTGGGCCCAGGTCCAGCACTGCGAGCACGCCAGGAGAGCCTTGTCCCGCGCACTCTTGTTCTCGCGGCCCGTCTTGGGTCGAGTCGAGGTCCACGGTGCGGCAGCGATGGCATCTACCATGGCCTGGGCGGCCCTCCTACGTATGAGGTTGGCCGTACAATCCCACTTGTCGGTGTCGGGGGCCCGGAAACCCTCCAGGGCCAACTGCCAGGAACGATCCGCGGCGACCCCAGCGTGCTCATCGGCGAGGCCGTTACCGGCAGCGAGGTGGCGCTGGAGGGGCGAGGGAGCGGGATCGTCGGGGTCAACGTGCGAGGGGGTCCAGACTACCTGAACGCTACCGGCACGGGCCCGGAGCGCTGCTCTGATCCGAAACCACAAATCGGCACTTTTGCCCGCCGATCTCTCGGCGCGGCCTCGGAGCCAACCCTGATGCAGAGCCGCATTATCAGTTACGAAATCGATGGGGCCGTCAAAGGCCCTGAGGGCCAATTCGAAAGCACGGAGCTCAGCAGCTCAGCTCTGGAGACTGTCTGTCGGCATCCCCCTAACGTGCTGGCAACTCCCTCCAGCAGCTCCCACCCCGTGCTGGTGGGCCTCAGCAACACCGCCGCTGCACCAACCCGTCGACGGCGTGGGTCGCTGCTGTGGCGGCCTCCAGACCCATCCCCGAACACGAACGCGGCTCCAGCAGGATCTCGATCGAGAGCTTCCAACGGCGGCGCTGGCGCCCCAACACCGCGCCAGAGCCCAGGACCCACTCCACGTCCCCTATCTCTTTAAAGAGCCCGCGCAGCCACAATGACGGCTGAGATTCATAATTTATGTGCGCTTCGTACATGAGCGACTGCGACGCTGTGTACTCTGGCTTATCTACATTACAGGGGCAAGTCCAAATTCGATGGTAGCACGAGTCGGGGGCACTACCGCACTTGAGGCACAGAGCCGACGCAGAATAGCCGGCTTCAATCTGACGATCGTGGGGCCATTGCCCCCCAGCTATGACTGTGACATGCTGGCCTATCTGGTCATAGGACTCACTCTTGAGCAGCCTCGCGAGGTGGGCCTGGGCAGGGAAGAGGTCGGCCCCCTCACCCAAACCTTCCCCGAAAACGTGCTCGGACGCCTGCCGCCAGATCTTCGCCCTGAGGTCGTCACGAAAATCCCAGACCAGCTCCGAAAAGCACAATCCCCCCACTCGCGCTCCTACGGGGGGGGGCATCAGGGAAAGACCAGATTTCGGCGTCCGTGGCACTCGTGGGGCGGTGCCATTATTCTATCGCCGACACAAGCCTCCAACCCGCGCCCAGGAGAGTCGCAATCACGACCGCAATCGGCCCCCAGGCCTTGCGCCAGCGATGCTTCGCTGACCCCCAAGCCGTTTGTGGATGGGCTGCCAGGAACGCGAGATGCGGCCGTGGAGGTGAGGGCTCCGATCCCAGGGATCACACCAGGCGGATCAGACCTGACAGCGGAGGGCCAGGGCGGGGTCCTGGCCACCGTACCGCAAGCCTAACACCGTCGACAGACACTTGCCAAGGCCTCTCCCCGCCACCGCATGTTTCGCCTGCCTACGCAGTTTGAGGATGGTGGAGGGAGCGAGGCCGAGGGCTTGGTGTCCGCACACCGCCTGAGGGACCGAGCCCTGGAGAACCAAACCTTTGGATACCGTGGTGAGAGCAGCCTGCCTGCGGAACCGCATCGCACGGCCTGTGCGACGCCTGGCTGTTGCCAAGCGCTCCTTAGCCTTCTTGCACACCCTAAGCCTGGACCCAGTGGTATCGCATCCGAGATCGACAGCGTGGGAGGCGAGGCTGATATGCAGACCGTGGTCCCGCAGGACGGGCAGCAGCTCCTCGCCGAGAGCGTGAGAAGAGACCAACAGCTTCGACTTGCTCGACACAGGGAGTTCACTCTCAGCGAAGGTCGAAACAAGGACTACGGTGGCAGAGCTTAGTTGAGAAACCATCTGCTGCTGAGTGCCTTCGCTGCGTACAACTTTGTCGTCAACAAAAGTCCACAAGCCAACCGACACGACCATCGACTGGACACCACAAGGAATGCGCACGCGCTCGAAGATCGGCCCCAAGAGCAACTTGGCCATCTTTACACCGTGGGCCGACCCTGCAACTATTGAGCGCGTGGGGAAGAGCAGGGTGCTGGCCATCGCTCGGGCCTCGAGGGTCCGAGGGGCGAGGAACATCTTCACCTCGAGCAGAGTTACAATCGGAGGAAAGGCTGCTTCCATAGACACAGGCATTAGTTTGCGCATGCTCACATTGTCATAAAGCCTCTACAGGTCGAGAAGCACCAGCGCGAACTGGAATCCGAGTTCGCTGGCCGTCTCCCCGAGGACGGCTCGCACCAGAGCAGCGCGAAGGGCAGAGGAGCCTCGCACTGCTGTGTCTCAGAAATGTGAAAGTAAGGAAGAGGAGGAGGAGGAGGAGGAGGAGGAGGAGGAGGAGGAGGAGGAGGAGGAGGAGAAGACGGCGGAGGAGGAGGAGGAGGAGGAGGAATCGGAATCGGAACAGACGCGAAGCGTCACTAGAAGTGCACGCCACCCCCTGCCGCCTCAACCCTCGAATCAGACGGCTACGCCGAAGAACGGGAGCTGCAATGAACAGGAAGATGGGGCCAAGCAACAAGTACACGACTGGCAGGGTAAAGAAGCTCGAGGAACAACTGAATGAGACTTTGAAAGAATACCTCCCCACTTGAATACTGCCTACCACTCAGAAAGTTAATTCACGCCGCTTTGGCAACAACAGATGGGTTCACTCCTGCTCTCCACCAGCCACAGGACCGTGCAATGAACAACAGCATGCAGCAATCCACGACTGAACGAAGTACTGCAGGCCAGGACAAAATGTCGGGCGAAATCTCCTCCAAAAATGGCAGCCAGATAAGCAGGGATGAATTCAACTCGATACGGCCCTGTCCATGATGAAACCCACCACAGGTCACTGGGCAAACTTTTAACCGAACAAACTCGTAAGTGAGCTCGCTTCCTCCACAAACTGCCTCACCAACAGCCAAACAATGAAAGAGAGCACCAACCACAAATAGCCCAGGAAATAAACCGTGCGCAGGCCAGGCTCAGCCGACACCAAAAAGCGTTTGCCTTGCGCTTGGCAAGCTCAGCCAATAACCAGATACTTGTTGCTGGAGCCCACAGACAACTTGGTGAGCACGTGCGGAAAAAAGGGGCCACGGAAGACGGGGAAGACCCAGCCCAAGATTGACCTGACCCGACCTGTCTCCCGTAAGTAGAACACGAAAACTATGCCGAGCCCTGGTCAACACTTTGTCCGACTTCGCCACCGCGATCGGCAACCCAATGAAACAGGTGAAGACGCGGTGCCACCCAAGCGCCACGTTGAGGCGTCGGACACGAATCTGGGCTCGCTAGGAAGCCAAAATGCTACGGAGAGCCTCGAGCCGATGCCTGAGAGGAGGAGGAGGAGGAGCCTCCCCCCTTGGAGCGGCCTTCGCTTGAACCGTGCGGTCGTTCCTGGGGGGAGGGGGGGAGTTCGCCGGCCCCCGATCACAGAGAGCGAAGGGCCTGACATGCGGACCGCCGCAGGAGGAGGAGGGTGACAGAGGAGGAGAGTGACGGAGGAGGAGGGCGACGGAGGAGGAGAAGGAGAGGCAGGGAGATTGAGGAGGAGGAGGGAGGGAGAGGGAGGGAGGGAAGGAGGGAAGGAGGGAGGGAGGGAGAGAGGAAGCGAAGAAGAGGGAGAAGGAAGAAGGATGGAGGGAGGAGAAAAGAGAAGAAGAGGAGGAGGAGGAGGAGGGGGAAGGGAGGAGGAGGAGGAGGACGTGGAGGAGGAGGAGGGCATCCTCTCTCCCCCATTTACCCCCTCCCCCCATGCTTCCCTCATTCCCTCCCTCCGCCCCACTCTTTCCCTCATCCCAGTCCGTCCCTCTTGCCCATCCTCGCCATCCCCTTCTGCTCATCTCATTCCCATCCTCCCCCACTACTCCTGATTCTTCCCTTCACATGATCTCCCCTCCTCTGCGCATCGCCTCACTTGTTCAGACACACGGATCACACTGGTGATCCACGTCAGCTCAACTCGATCTCCTGCGGCATGTGCCATACAACCTTTACTGCTGCGTGGGCTACACCCGCTGTGACCCTACAGAGGGGGCCTCCTTGTGGTGGCCAGCTCAACGAACGAACCCCAGAGAAGCATCAGAGGACTGGACATGCTCGTCACTGCGATGGACGTACCGCGCGCCTCTGATAGGACACTTATTTACAGCTTTGAATACCTCTCGAATTTCCAAATGCCCCCTAAGTGACAAGAAGGCGGATGGCCTCC